TGAGGGGATGGCTCTGTTTAAATGGAACAGGCTTCAGTTCTAGTCTCTGCCTACGTTTCTCTTCCCTTTTCCCGTTATGGCAGCACTTTAATCTTGCAGGGCAGCTTTCCTGTTCTCAGAGTGAGCAGCAGAGGGCCTGAGGACATGCCTTTTAAAGCTTTGTGTAGTCAAGACTTTCAAACGTACCAAATGTACCAGCAAGAATAAATCAGTTGTGCTACTCAGCACACATTACATACAGCCATGAGAGTTGTTAATCAAGCTATTAATTACTTCTAGAATCCTAAGGAACATAGAGTTGTTCTGTCGGTGCAGTTTTAATACTCAGGATTAATAACACTGATTCTAAAAAGCTTCTGAATAAAACTATCAGTTTACAGCTGGAAAAGGAATAGTTTAAGAGGTCAAGTGCAGTTCACCTGCATGTTCACACCTTTAAGCTACTCTTACAGCTCAGATTAGCAACTTAGCTACACAGACTTTTCACAATAATATTAAAATTTACACAGCTCGTAACTTTCAGAAGAGATTAGGTACTAACCATGGGCAAGTAAAACACCTTTTTTCCTCAGGCCAACCAAAAACTAGTAAAATTGTCCCCTATTTTGTTCAGACAAGTACACATTCTGTTGGTGTCCTGACTGTGTTTGTATCCACAAGTGTGACTCAGGAAAACTTTCCCCTGTGACTTCAAACAGGCTCATCAGGGATCTCAGTTACTTCATCTCTACAAGAGGAATATTATTTATTTTTCTTGCAATGCCTGGATGAAATAAATAAATGTACTAGCAAGGGAACTTCTTGGCTGATAGTGACACAGTGTTGTAAAGTTTTGTTCTGAGGCATTAAAACATATTTAGTGGAATTTTACCAGGGGTAATTCTTTTTAAAGATACTTTCACACATGGCTTTGTGCAGAACCAATCTGTCATCATCACTGCTAGTTTTATTAATAAACAGCTTGGAAAGAAAGAACATAAGGCAAAACTGGGAAAGGTTGAGCATATTTATTTGGTAGGAAACCACTACAAACAAATTGTTCAAGCTGTTAACAGCTGTCACTGTTTCTATTTTCTGGTCTTGTAAACAAATACCTCAAAATCTGCATTATACCTTACCCTGTCTTCTTATTTTCTTTTGGCTAAACAGCAAGTGTTTGCCTCTCACAAGATGGCTATGATCAGAAAACAGAAGGATGGATGAGATCCAAATCACTAGCTGAAGGAGCAGAAAGGCCAAGCTCAGGAAGTGACAGGAACACAGAAAGGCTAAATAACAATACAAAATCTGGCTGAGACAACAGAGACAGCAGAGCCTCACAGCAGGTAGCAGCTGGAGGCCTTGAGCAACTAAATCCAAGGAACAGACAGAGCTCTGCACCCCTTTTCTGGACTTCTACAAGCAGAAGTTTAACTACTGAGAGCACCCTCAGCTTTTTTCTCCCTAAAACCTTTACTATTTCAAACCCCAAGGCATCCCTTGGAACACTGCAGAACTGCTGCTCAAACAGCAAGAAAGATTCTCTCAGTTTCCTGCCTAACCTCCCCCATGGCCAGTTTGTACATACTCACTCTTGTGCCAATATTATTCTTTAGCTTGATTAGTTCTCCTCCCTTGCTGGCATTTTGTGTGTGATGCATTTACACACAGGAATGGCAACCACTCATGTAATTTAATTAAAGCCCACACTTGCTGTAGAACAGACACTCAGTTTCTGTAACTACCCTAGTAGCCTCTTCTGCATGTGAATACAGACACTTGGAGTGCTATATAATATTCTGGAAAGGGTTTAATTAACTACATGAATGCTTCCCAGCTCTAGCTGAAGCACTTCATGCTTTCTAGGACCATTTGTGTCTTCTTTATAGGTGTGTATCACACCATTTGCTCAGACATCCTGTGACTACCTGGCCTATTACTCCTCTCACTAGAAAATTGATTATTAGGCTTTTCCTTTTTATGCTAAGACCTTTAGTGAAGTATTAAGAGCAGGCTCACAAACCCCCTTTAAGAGACACAAGAACAGCCACACTAAGTCAGAACACAGGCTTGGCACCCTGTCTCCAATGGGCAGACACCTCAAGATGACTAAGAACAGAGCAAACATATAAATAATTGCCCTTAACATTCTCATAGCATCTATTTTTGGTTTGGTGACTTCCTGAGACAGATGTGGTTGCTCAAATTGTATTTAGTAACCTCCAATAGATTTCTCTTCCACAAATTTATCCAATCTCCCCTTAGGGGGATAAGCTATTAGCAGCCACACATCCTTCAGAAAGTAGTTCCAGGCATCCAGTGCCCCCTGTGCAAGGAGCAACCTCTTTTTGTTTCCTTGGAACTGGGCCTTAACCTATTACTGTACCCTAGAGCCTGTATTGGGAGGGTGTGTGTGGGTGTCAAACCTTATTTTAACCTCTCTGTGTCACAGATTTTGTAATATCCATCAATCCTCATGTCAGCCTTCTCTCTTCCAAACTGAAGAGTCCTAGTTTACTTAGCAATCTCCAATGGAAGCTGTATCACATCTTTGATCACTGTTTCCCTTTGATTCTTTTCCAGCTCTTTTATATCTGCCATATCCTCTCTGACAGGGACCAGAACTACACTCACGTTCACGACATGGGCAAAGCTTGGATATATACAGAGGCACAACAAGGGACTCTTTTAAAATTCTCTGCTCCTTTTCCTATCAATCCTAAACTCTGATTTGCCTTTAGACTGCTGCTCAGCATTTAGGTGATTTTTTTACAGACTTGCCTTCCAGATAAATATTCCTCTTTTCCACATCTCCCCATTGTCCTATTGCTGATCCATATTCCAATTTTTGCACCAAGCCACATCTTCTCCAACTGAGAGAATGAATTCCAGTGTTAAGCCAGACAAATTAGACCCATGTCATTTTCAGTCTCCAATAAAGAGCTTTGCAAACAGTGGTCTGTGGGCTACAACTGCTACATTTCAAGCCAGAAAAAGTACCTGGGAAAAAGTGAGTTCTATTGGAAAAATACAGAAAGACCTACAAACCAAAAAAAGTCACTGAGCTAGAAAATTAATTCTTTGTCTTACTTACAGTAGTGCTCCCTCTCCCAGCTGATAAAAGACATCGGAGGGACACACTCAAAGGGTTTAGGTAGTAGGATAAACACAGTAATGAGCTACTCTGGAAAACAACAGTTACAAAAGACAAACACTGAAAAGGCTCTGCACAGAAAGAGCAATTTCTAAACCACCGAACACCCCTGTAACATAGCCACAAATCTCCTCTGCTCTGTAGTGAAGAGCTGAGCACCTCACAGGTTCTGTGGTGCTGAATGCTCATTTTCTGCTGCAGTGCAGGTCTCAGTTTTGGACCACAGCACTGAGAATAGCAGTGATATAGTACTGCACAAAGAACAAATCAGCACTACAGTCTCATTCACTGTATTTTGATATTAGGATTTTGCACCTTCTTTCTGGATTCAGGCTATGACTGGCAGCTAAAAACAAAGTACAAGTCACTTTCTCAAATACAAGGAGCTTGCTCACCACATGAAATAGTTCTGCCCTCCAAAACCTTTGTACTTTTTCTGAGCTTGGACCTCATTATTCACAATGTATCAACATCAACACACAAAAAAGTACATCCTGTTAGGCAACTATCTGTCAATTCTGTTATCATTTATGTGGATAACTCCTACCTGGAACTACAGGAAGAAGAGCTTTCTCCTATCCCTGTTTGTCTTTAGTGCACATGAACCACTTTCTGCATGCTGCCAATTTTCCAGCTATTCCCCGACCACTTTTATTGGTCCTTGATGCAAAAAATAGAAGAGAGAAAATATTTTTTGGAAAACAGAATACTTGATTGGGAAAAAAAAGAAGTTAAAAGTGGCACTTAAAGCTGATGTTAGCATTTTTAAATCTTCTTGGCTTTCTGGATGATTAGCCTCCTTAAAGAAACGTTTGCACACTCTTGTCATGCAAACTGAGTTCAGTGCAGACAGAGCCTCTCTGGTAAAGTCACAGCACAAAGCAAATCAGCAACTCTGCTACTGCAAGTTGTGCTTCATGTACACAAGCATCACCTCATCTATTACAGGTATTTTAGAGATGTACACCATGTGTTGTCTCTGGCATCCAAGGCACATTTTTGGGATGAGTTTAATTCTCACCTAGATGTCTCCAGCATATGTCTCAACCATTTCTGCAATGTCTGTGTGTGGAGTACAGTGCACAGCAGTGAGAGCTCAGGGTGACTCTGACCAGGAAATTGCAAGGCAGATCAGCAGGACCAATAGGCAATGAACACCACACTCATATTGGTTCTGAGAGCCAAGCTACAATTTCTTCCCACTGCTACACATGGTGGCAGAGATCAGCTTTATATACAGAGCCTGCTGTAGTCACTTCAAACTCAACATGTTTTAGTCACATATTGCTGACATTTATCAGAGAACTTCCTTCTTCTGAAGAGTAAGACCCAGAGCTCCATGAACACCAGGCACACCAGCCTAACTGCAGCTAGGAAGCAAGGAATGCAGGAATTCCTCCCCTCCCACATGGGGAAGCCACATGCACCTTGCTCCTAGCCAGTGCAAAGGCAGTGGCCATGCCAGTGCACCCACATGATTTGTAATGAGTGGGAGAATTTGCAATGCAGATTCTGCCCAACTTAACCAACTTCCACCATGTAAATCTCTGCACTTTCCCTAGGTCAGAAGTCTACAGAGGGAGAAGAATTTTTGCTCAACCCACATCAGAAGACAACACATTCTGTGTTTGGTTTGAGGGTTTCTGGGAGAGCAGAAAGGTTCTTCTTGCTTGATTACCCTTTCACCACTTACAGGTGTACTTCAGGGACAGGCTTAATGCACCATCTAATCTGCAGCCCTTCCTTTGTTGCTTAGCACAGGGATCAGCATTGTCATCTACATTTCTGACAAAAACAGCTCAAACTGTCCACAAAATTCCTCCAGCAACACTGACAGGCAGGAACTGACTGCCCTGAGAGTTTGATATGAAAGAGCAAAGACCCATCAAACTGCACAAAGTCAGATTTTTACTCTGGTATTAAAGCTAAGGGAATGTGAGCTTACATATGGTCTGTCTAACATAAGACAGAGCATAATTTTCTTTCTTTTTACTTTTCCTTTTCTTCAATTTTTGTGGGAGGGGTAGCTGGTCTGATGCCATCAGAGAGTTTCCAGGCACGCAGGGCTGAGTTATGACCCACCTGCTCCTCGTGGCCTATTAATATCAGGTTTAAGAGAAACACTCTCTCAGATGAAACAAAAAGCTTCCCCATTTGGCAACCAGGTGAAATTTGTGCTTGGCTCCTGAACACCACCTCGTCTTAAAGAAGGAAAGTTAGAGGAAAGCCTTGGGGTGTGCACAGCTAAACCATTAAATCACAAGACTCCTTTCCTACCCTCTCATTCATCTCTAGTGTGACATCTCTCTTGCTGCTCCCTGCACAGGGATGGAGACTTACTGGTGATGAAGTGTGACAACTCAACACCATGAACTAGTAACTGTGGACAGATGCAGCTTGTAGCAACCACCCAGCCTTGTCTAAGCACAGGGATGTGCCAGAGTCTCCTGCTGCACAGCCTTGCAGTTAGAACAACTACAACTTGCCTACAACATAACAATTTGTACATGAGGGAGATATGGCTGCCAGTTCCTGTATCAAACCAGTCTGACCCACCCCATCTCCTCCTCACTCAGCCTGAAGCCTGTCACACCTAACAAGGCCATGGGAAAGAAATTACACCACATTCATAAAACCAGACATATTCCCAATCAAGCCAGGAGGTGGCACGGGGACAGTATTTTACTTCTGCTGCTGAGCTGCTGGAGCTCAGCTCTGCTCCTAAATTTCACAGGGCATCAGTGCTTCTGACAGGAAGAAGCTGCCATTCCCACAAGGCAGATGCAGTCCTGGGACTCAGCTGAACATACTCAGCCAAAGTGCACTGAGAGTTGCAAACCAAAGCTCTGAGTCTTCTTCAGAGAATGCACTCTACAGCTGTGAGGGCTGGATGGCACCTGCTTATTTCCACTCAGGCTGACAAAGGCACAAAAGAAGTCTGTGTGAAGGAAGAGTTCTCTGCTGAGGAATAGAATGACAAGCCTATTTCCATGCTTAAGGCTGCAAAGCTGCTCAAACGGATACAATGAGAGATCTGTGCACTTTGGCACAGTGAAGAATTGAGTTTCAGATCATAAAAATCTATAAAAATGCATATTTGAACTAAACTGGTATTGACTCAGCACCAAAATAGCCTGAGGGTTACACCTGCATACTCAAATTAATTTTCAAGTGCCTCTTTTGCTGTGCAGGGTATCTTATGTTACAGTTGTACCACACTTATATAACCTACTCGAAATGTATTTCCCCTTGTTTGGAGTAACAACTTTCTGGAGATGTCTCATAAAGTCCAATTTGGGAAGAAATTAAAGGCAAGAGCCTTCCCCACATACTGCTTCCTGACTGCCACACAGAACACCTGCTGGGCTGAGATCAAGCAGGTCTCTGCTGATTACAGAGCACAGGTTAAAATGCATTGAGCTGTTAATAAATGCAGGCTTATATAAAGCCTTTTAATGTCTTCATCAGAGACTGCTCTATATGCTTACTGGGAAGTGCTTTTCTATGGATCTTATTGACACTGCAGTAGATGCACGTTCAGAGTGACACAGTCAAACAGCACACACACAACCAGGGGGGCTAGGCACGAGTGCTCACCTTGTGTCTGTCCCAAGGGATGTTATACTATAGGGTTACCAGTTTTGACAAATGCATCTTCCTGAAGACATCCAGCAATTGTGCCTCTACTCCCTCCCACACACACCACCAGTCTACCCAGCACTTCGCTGCCCTCACTATTCTCTGCTGCAATTCAAGCTTTTACTTCTTGTCCTAAACATCATGGAGATCAATAACAGGCTGCTCCCTTCCTCACTGAAGTCTCTTATAAGCTCACCTCAAAGTCTCTTCTTCATGTGAAACACAGTTATTTCAATCAGTACTCCACGGCAGGATTTCGGAGCCTCTAATCATTCTCACTGCCTTCCTCTGGATTCTCTCCAGTTGACCCAAATCTTTCATAAAGAATTTAGTACAGCAGTCCACCTACAGCCACTTCAAGCCTGAACCAGGCATAAGGATGACTTCTAAAGTCCTGCAGGACAACAAGCTACATAATTTGACACCAGGTTATGTTTGGACAAATATTAGGAACTGATTAAGATCTTTATTCCAGTAAAACTGGAAGCATTGTGCTATGAAAACAGGAGCAGTATGTATATGCTACACACATTATCCAAGACAATGTTCTCACTTAAGCAAACTACAAAATTACTGTGTGAAAAGTACACTGTCTATCCAGGAATGAGCAGTACTAAGCCATTATCTCTCAGTTAGGAGCTGGAGAGGTATGCACAAGAATCAGAGCAGCCAAGTGCCATCCTGAAACACCTTTCTCCAAGAGCTCTCACCAGGCCATTCTGCCTTTCTGATGGGTTAGATGCTTCATCTAGTTTTTCCTGAGATGAAGCTTCCAGACCGTGGTCAAACAGCAGCTATAGATCACTTCAAATTATAAAGAGCCCCAAATCAGCCCAGATTAGTTATATTACTAAAGGTCACTTCCATCCTCTGACAATGGTTTTAAAAAGAGTTTGAGGACAACTGGCTGCACTTCTCCAGCTTAAGGTTTCCTATTTTACAAGCCATGAAATTCCTATAACCTAAAACTATAAACCAAAATTCTGTTCTTTGTACTTACCCTTCTCTTTGGTACTCCTCATCCAAATTTGACAAAAGCTGGGACCCAGCCACGGACAGATCAAGTGCAGCCAAAGGTAGATCACGGTAAGCAAAGTTAACAAGCTGTACAGGAGCAATGCTTTTGGTCTCTTCTTCCACTTGTTGTGAAATTATCTCAACTTCTGAAACACCACCTTCAATTGTAGGCCTGGAAATGTAATAAGCACACATAGACACATAAATATAAACAAGCAAGCAAGGAAAAGTTAGAGACAAGAACTTCACAGAAACCTGAAGAGCCACCAACATAACAGGCCTCTGCAAGGTTGCTAAGGGAGGTGCCTCCACTGAGGAGACAGACCAAATCTCTCCAAATTTCTTTTTCCTAATCTCACTGTGATCAACAGAAACCTCACAAGGAGAACAGCATTTCACTCTGCTGAATCTGCTTCAAAAGCACTAAATATAAACAAATACACAAAAAATGCATGAAGCCAAACCCAAAATATTTATGCAAACCAGAAGGAAGGCATGTAACTATGCCAACTAACAACTCACTGCTTGGGGAGTGAGGCCAGCGAGCAACGAATAGCTGAGCTTATTAATCAGGATACACAAATCAGCTGTTAATTAATGGATGCAGTTTGACCCTTCTCCCACTGCAGATTTGAATATTGATTCAAAGGGCTTTGATGGATGGCAGTTTTGTTTCATCTAACTAGAAAGGATCATTCTGTTACAAGTCATTTCAAAATAGTTCTGAAAGGAGAACAAAGATTCAGAAGAATTATGAACTCCTCCATAAAGATTATCTTAACTCTCCTTATGCACAGCTTCTAAATCTGGTCATGTATTCTTACACCAGCCCACTAACACTAATGGAAACTCCGTGCAGGTAAAAACAGTCTGACAATGTATGTATGTGTCTTCCACATTTATAACAAGATACTACTTAGCTAGAAACTCTGTCAGCTGGCACAGTGTCTAGTGCATGGGAAGGATGACTGCACTGCAGGACAAAGCTTGTGTGTCAAGGGCTGACCCTTTGCAGTATCCAGGGAAAGCTGCTTGCTCTGTTTGATTCACAGCAGGTGCAAGCACAACCTTCCCCAGCTTTCCTCCAGGAGAGCCTGTTAACTTCTGAAGAAATCTCAGGCTGCTGTCAGAGGTTTTCAACAGCAGGTGTGAAGATACCTTTTTTCCATAGGGATGTGGTTAACAAGTTCTTGGCACCCAACTTCCCTCTGCCATTTGACTGCAAAAATTGCATTGGTCATTTTGTTTCAAAGAAGCTTATTAAAATCTTCAAACTGTTTAAGCAGCAGTTCTTTTTTATTCCCCTCTAAAAAATGAACAGTTTACAAGAGTACTTAACTGATACATCTTGTATACAGGTATCATCTAAGGATGTGGGTGGAAGTTTCTCTTGGTCAGAGCCTCACTATTAGCCTAACCCTTTCAGATGGAAGACATTATTGCCAAGTTAAGAGGAGCAAACTGCTGCCAGTGTTACACAAGTAAGTAATTTTGAAAACCAGAAAATGCTGCTATACCTCAAGTATTTGGCAGGGAAAGGCTGCAGCTGTGTCATACCATGGCAGAAAGTAGAGGTAAAAGGAAGTGCTATTTGAACAACCTAAAGGCTTCTTTGATTTTAGTCTTTATGTAACTAATAATGGAAGGTAATGAGATTCTTTGATTTCCAACAGAACTGTATTCCTCTGTAAACAATCTGAAATCAGAAGCCCGGAGGTAGGAGCTAATTTTAGCAAGAAATTTCTTTCATTTTCACCTTGACTACCATCCTGTGCACATTTACCTTTCTAAGTCCAAGTCAGTTCAGGTTTGCATGAAAGAGCATACAATGATCCAATTTCCAGCATTATGAAGGAAAAAGAAAATGGGTTGGTGCAGCCTTCCCTCTCCCAACAGTATTTAGCTTCTGTATTCTTAGACAGACTAAATGACAGACATGGTCTGGTTTGATTGAAAAGGAGAACAGACTAATGTTGGCAGACAGCTTTGGACAGGTTTGGTGGCAGGAAAGAAGATGTGAAAATAACAGGACATACTAGTTTTCAGGCTCTGGTTGTTAGCAACACATCAGACATGCTTACAGCATTCATGGTTCTTCTGCTAATTCACACTCTTCACACAACTACCAAACCCTACTACTCACAACTTTTGCTTCCAGCAATAACCTGCTCCCTTCCACTGAAAGGAAGTTATAACTATCCTCACGTGGTACTTACTGAGGATTGGTCATGTTGGAGGATGCAACCGAATCAGCAGTGGTTCCAATATTGAACTGATTCCAGCTGCTCTGCATACAAGGTCTAGCCTTGAGAAATTAGGTCTCTGTGATAAGCAAAACAGAGTTATCTAAAACACAGCTGAAAGAAATCCAAAGGGTTACACTGACATTTGTTGTCATGTTGCAAGTTTGTCTAATAATTTTATTTCCTCCCATGATTCTTTCTCAAAGTGTTTTTATTCCAGGTGAATTCCTCCATATTATGGAAGCTGTAAAGTTACGGTGCATTCACTTATACACACAGACATACACACACTTCCACAGGAACACAGGTCTGTGTTTACATCACTAGACTGTTGAGAAAGACAATCAAGAGCAGAGGGGGAAGTGAATTCTCAAAGAAAGCTCATGGCTTCAGGATCATAAGTTCTGCTGGAAGCCAAACGATTTTCTACAGTTTAACATACATTGTAGTGATGAGCATTAGCTTTGTCAACCAAGTTTGGGGGTTGTTCTCCACTCTCTGATTTCACCTGTGTTCCTGACTCCCTCTGCTGCTTTAGGAAGTCTCTTCCAAGGATTAATTCATGCTGTCAAACATTCTAGATGGGCTGTTATCAGTAACACCTTTGGGAAAGGCACCAAGTGGGGCAAAATCTCTACTGGTGCTGTACTTGGGCCAGGGCATGGCAACCAGAGTGGAAGAGGACAAACCTGTGAGAATGAAACCTACTGACACATAGGTTTTGGTAGCAGGAAAAACATTTAACTGGAGAATATCATACAACAAACAAAAATCCTTAGGAAAAGAATTAATGGATGAATTTGTAAAGCTACTGTGAAGATTATATGCTATTATATACTTTTAAAAGTAATATAAAAACAAACTCTTAGTTTAATGAAACAAAAATAAACATTGGCAATTTAGAATGTTATTGACAACACCACCAAAAATTTCATCATCACGAGAAATGGTTCTTATACTAAACTTTATACCAGAGTCACTTACAGGCTTGCAAGTCAAGATTTAGAGTGAAGACATAAATGTAGCTACAGTGAGACCCTTAACAATCATTTGACACAAAAATAATAAAACTGAACTTACATCTTTTGTAGAGCCATTTCCAAGGCTTTATTTCATGTTTTGTAACCTCAGAAAAATGTAAAATGTAGCCAATGCATTCTCACGTTCTGCAGACAATGTGCCTGGGTATGCAAGAAGAAAAGAGTCTACACTGTGATCACCATTCCTTAGGTAGATAAATCAGCCAAAAGCAATTTAATTATTCATGTGAAGAAACATGGACAATTCTAAAACAAAAGACTACACATATTTCAGAAAGACACACACACTCCATTTATCTATAACCTTGTGATACTTCTAAAGACACAGTAAGAAGCAATTTCTTTCCAGACAAAGCTTTGCTAATACAGCAGAAACTTGATTCGACATCCATTCAAGATCAATGGGAGTCTCTTCCCTGGCCTCTGTAGTCCTTGAATTATTTTATTTGTTATATCCCTAAGGTAGGAAAAGCCTGAAACATTTGCCTAAAATTCTGCAAGTTTAAATCACACACACAGAGCTTTACAACAGAGATTGTTACACCAACCAGCACAACATAACTCAAATATAAGCATCAGGCTTCTTTTGCCATGTTAGCTCCTTAACATCTTGGTTTGGGTTGCCATTTTTACAGCACAAAAAACCCCCAAACAATTTGGAATGAAACATTTTCCCCAAACCAATTGCTCTAAGCACTCAGCCTGAGAAAATGGTACAGGCACGAGGTATTGTGCACCTGTACTGTGAGACTGAGGAAACTGAGAATCCTACTAGAGCTGCATTTGCAGGCCTGGAGAATAAAAGGTACATGGGGATACTGCTGATTTAGGAAATGGGAATAAAACTGATGGAAATTGGCCTCAGAGGACAGGCAGCCAAATGTACACATGGCAATTTCTGAACCTAGTGAAAAACTCACCATTTATTCAGGAGCCAGCACAGTGCTAATACCCTCACTCCCCCTCCCAAAGGAAAACAAAACAGGGACAAAAATGTACAGCCAGATTTTTAAAAAAAAGTCTTATCTTTTTCAGATTAACCTCAAGATTTGGAAAAAAAAGTCTTCTCTTTTTCAGATTAACCTCAAGATTTGGAGGGAAGTCATAACAGTGGGGGGCCAGTAACACTGCAGTTCTTTCACCCAGAACATGGACATGAGATATTTGCCCCTGCAGAACAGAGACTCTTTTCTTCCCTAAAGCTGGAAATACATTCTGAATGATACACAATTTTGTTTTACAACTCAACTGGGTCTCTGAGCCAGCCCTGACCAGTGGCAACACCAGTAAGCCAGAGCAGCTTCTTCCTACTGGAGTTGGCAGCTCTACAGGCAGAGTTTGCTCACCACCAGGACTGAAGGAGCAGCAGCTCTTCGGATCCACAGGGAGCAGAGCCCAAGTCGCCACGGCCGAAGGGATCACTACCATGACATAAGGTCCTCACAAAGGTGAGATGAGTAATGTGGAGACACACCTGAAAGGACACACAGGCAATCAAGTCTCCCATGGACTCAGTGCAGCCTTCCTGAGAGAAAAAGTGGCAAAAAGTGAGTAATTTCCCGTGCAAATGATGAATGCATTAGCTGATTTAATGAACTGATATGACAGGTAGTTACTAAGTACAGCAAGAGGACAAAACAGGTGTAAAAGGTTGTGTATCTCTATATCCTAAATGGATTGTGGGATTCATGCTTCTTTCTAGGCTTTATGCAAGCAACAGAAATGTCTACCATATACTGGTGTTTTGCAAAAACATATTTTTTCCATCCACTCCAACTCATCTATCTGTTTTTAACTTCCCTAAAAAACCACCTTTTATAGCAACCAAAAACACTTGCAACTTCCACAGGAAATTTCTGTGCAACTGAGTGGTGTCTAAAGGCAACAAGGAACAGCAGGGAGATTTTATTCTTCTTCACTTATCTCTCACTTGCATTCCTAGAGGATCTAGTGTAGGCAAAGAGGAATGATGTGGCTCTCCTTCCCACCAACAGAGATAGGCACAGGACAACTTCTGGGTATTCCATTCATCACCTAGCTGTACATTTTTCCAGGCAGCCCTTTCCCCACCTAACACACTCAAAGTTCAGCAGACAAAAAAAGCTTTATCATAGTCTCATCTGATGGAGTTAGTTAATAGGTCTGGGGGTTTGGCTTTTTTCCCCCCTTTGTAGAACTGAGCCCAGGTTTTGGCCTTTTTTCCCTCCCTTTGTGGAACTGAGCCCACACTGAACATCCTGAGTTGACACGTGAGTATGGTCAATGCCCATCTTGTGAGAGTTCAGCAATTCTGATTGTTCTGTGACGTGTTTTCAAGGTGAGATGGCTAAGGAGCAGTTTCCACAGTTTAACAGAACTAGTTTAAAAGGGAGACATGACAGAAAGGCAAGATTTGTCCCATGAGTTTCTAGAGCAAGCTTCCAAAGTAGTATAAAACCCAGAAATATTCACTGGACTAAACAACTGCTGTGTCCTGTATGTACCAAGACACAGTTTATGCAATCTGATGGGAGGACAGTGCAATCTGATGGGAAGTGTATTTCTGCTTCTGATTTTCTGTAGACAAGTTTGTAGACTAGTAGCCCAGCTCAAAACTTGAGGGATCACAGTTCCAATCTCAGCAAAGCTGACTCAGCCCTTCACCCCTCTGCAGCAGGTGAAGGAAGCTGTTCCCCACTCACTGAGCACATTCTGAGGCAGAACCTTCAAAGTGCTTCAGACTGCTGTACTTGCCTTCCAAGCCCTTCAGCTTTCCTCTGCTCTTTGCACAGGTACTACACGTGTTCTTCAAGGCTTCTGCAAGGTACCCTTGGCTTAACTGTGATTTCTTTCACCCCCTTCTCTGCAAGGGCACTGGCAAACACCTGCTCACAGCTCCTGGGCTGTGCTCAGGACCACACGATGCAGCTGAGCAAAGGTTCACACTGCTGTCCTTGCCCAGCACACATCCTGCCCCAGTTAATTTTTTAATGTTTAGATCAACCTTCTACTGTCAGTCACCACACCTCGGCTGGAGCTTGCTAACAGGAGATAAAGTTTGAAACAACACAAAGCAGAGAACAGAGTTTGGAAAACATATGCCAAAACACAGCACATGTGTGTATGTACATGCTAAGCTAAAAGAAAGAAGCCAAAACCAACCCAAAACCTCCAAGAGCGAGCTTAAAAAAAAATAATTCTATACTCCACTTGTGGATGATAACCATGGCTCTTAGCACTGATTTAAGTACAGTCTTACAAAATATGTGTCACAATGTAGTGGGCCCAGTTGGGGGTGGGGAGTAGGAAGATGGTTTAATTTAAGCCTTTTGCACCAAAGCCCCTACTAACTTGTACCCTGTTCAGCTGAGCTGAAGTCAAGGCAGCATGATTCAGAGCTGTTTGCTGTATTTGCTCACATTCCGAGGCGTATTATCCTGAAGCTGGAAGCTCCTGTACAAAATTCAGATGCTCACTGGAACACACGAGTTTGTGAGCTCACAAAGTAGCTACAAAACCAAATTCCGACACGTTCTAACTAAAGATTCTTCCACACAGTTCCCCAATAGCAGCTTAAGACACAAGGGCAGGTTCATGGTGTGCATCCAAGGGAAGTGGCACAGGCCATGCTGGGGGAGACACTGCTGTTAGCTGAAATGTGGGGTTGGGGTGTTCTTGTCCAGCTCTGCCTACACCACAGCCATGTGCCTGCACACAGATTGGTACTGTGAGCTGGGCCAGGAATCTGATTTGGCTTTCACTCAACAACAACAACATTACCTTCCTTTTTCTGCATTTTGTGTTTAGAGCAGCAGGATGGCTTCCCTGGTGCAGGTCATAGTACAGCTTCAAACCCAGTTACAGCAGCAAAACTGAGCGGGCAGGGCAGGGCACTGTGCACAGCCACAGAGCTAACGGCACGGGAGAAAGACTTGAGATCAGGAATCACAGAATTTAAGGGTTGGAAT